GGCATTATGTAGAAAAAGTATTGTGTTCACTTTCATGTTTCCTCCAAAATGTTTGCGTGCACCAAAATAATGCGTATTTCCACCACAGATTTATTTGCTTCATTTTTCCTAAAGATTTCAACTTTAATTTTATTCAAAAAACAAGACAAATCTGCAGTATTACAAGCATGCAATGCATATAAGCATTTTTTTTATTCCTTAAAAAAAAAAGAAGTTAGTCTGAGCTATTTACCTGTCTCTTAAAATCCTGAGACGGTAGAAGAATTTGTTGGAATACCTTAATATATTCTTGCACCTCTCTTTTAGGCATTGGGAGCAATTTACTTGTGAACTAAACAACGACCCGAGATAAAACAGGAAAGTAAAATGATAGAAAAGGGGCAGTAAGGAAATGTTAATACAAATAATGGATTGAAAAGGTGCAAACAGGGAAATTATAAAACAATGTATAACAGTGAACACAACACTTTTATACCTAGCCCCACTGTATCAGGCAGTGGGTGAGAACCTACCAGCTTCTGCTTTGATACGAAACAAGAAAATAACATGGTCACTCCATCATAGACAAACAGAGCATCAAGACTGAGGCCTACCATGAACAGTGCAGCATTGTCCGTTGTGCTACAGTGTTACACGTGCTGTTGTTTACCCTCCTATGTCCATTTTCTATTCCCCAACACTTTGCTCCATCAATCCCTATAACCATTCTTTAATAATGCACATATAAGTAAAAAGCTAACATGGGATATCTTACCTTTTAATAACTGTGATACATCAGCAGGAGAGCAGCAAAATAAAGTGGACAAAATATACTAGGAGCACTCACATAAAGCAGAGCCTGGTAACAATAATGCTCAATGGTCGCACAGGTTTGCCTTTGCAGGTAGCAACACACCTTTCTTCTTATGAAACACCACATTAAAAAGAAATGAGAAAAAAAGGCAGTAATAGTGCAGATATCTAAATGACTCCAATATAAACAAACAAGCTGAGTTTGCTCACCTGGGTCAGAGCCAATTAGGTCCTGGCTCGAGGTATGTAAGCTTGGTGTCACATATGGGGTGACATTACCCACAGCTGTATACTAGTGAATGAAGGTGCTGGATACTGCTAAATATATTCTATGTAGATGTAATAAAATAAAAACCAATATTTATTAATAATCACATAGAAAAACAATGAAAGGACAGTAACAGCAAGAATAGCAAGAATTAACAAAGCGCCAAAATGCATCTCGCCAATAATCTAGGCTTCTTCAGTCATTTTTTATTTTGGTGAGGGGTGTAAGGTTCACCCCACATGAGTGTTTTTGAGCTGCTAATTTGTGTCTAAGTATTGAAGTGCTTTCGTTGTACACTACAGCTTTGTTATTTACATTCTTTAGTAACGGTTTGTTTAACCCCTTCACCAACCGCAGACGGAAATTTTCCGTCAACCTAGTCCTTCAGTTAAGGACCGTTGACGGAAAATTTCCATCATTTACTAAAGTTATCCCCAGATCGCTGTGATCGCGGCGATCGCGGGGTTAACGGTGCTCCTGTCTGCCTCTGTATTAGAGGCAGACCGGGAGCACTGGATCGCGCTGCCCCAGCACCGGTGCTCGCTCTGACAGGCTATAATTACCTTCTGCCTCCCTCAGGGGTTAAATTTATTTTATTAATTAATTTAAATATTTTAAAATTATATATTTAGCTAGCTGGGATGGGTAGAAGTTAGTGGGGAATTGGGTAATTTGGTTTTAGGCTAACTAGGGGTTAACGTTAAAAAAAGTTTTAAAATAAGCTTTAAAAAGGTAAAAAAAGTTTTCAAAAAATGTTTTAGTAACGTTTAAGTAAAAAAAAAAATACCACCCCCCTTTACCCAGTCTAAATAAAATTAACCCCTTCCCTGCCAGTTGATCACTGCCTACAGTGATCAAAATACAGATCACAGTATTATACTGTAATCTAATTTCTTTTAACCCCTGAGGATTAACTTTTATTTATTTTTTAACCCTCAGGGGTTCAATTTATTTAATTAATTCATTTAAATATTTTATAATTATATATATTTTGCTAGCTGGAGTGGGTGGGAGTTATGGGAAAGGGGGGGATTTACTGTTAGTGCTGCTTACTGCTAGTTATGGGTTAACGGTAAAAGAAAAGTTTAGAAAAAAATTTAAAAGTGTAAAACAAGTAAAAAAAAAGTTTAAAAATGGGTTTTACAAAGTAAAAAAAGTTTTACAAAGTAAAAAAAATACATTAAAAAATGTTCATTACCACTGCACTTGGTACAAGCTGGCGGAAAAATGATCCCACACTAAGGTTCAAAATATGCCTTTTGAATTACCCTGGGATGTCTTCTTTAAGAAATGGTATGCCTTTATGGGGTAATTGGATTATATAGCCTTGTAAAATACTCTAAAATGGGACATGGACACAGCGTAAAAATTCAAAGTTTGAAAAGAACTGGAATGGCTGTGTCCCAAATGTGCTCCTCCGATGTCCACATATACCTGGCAAAGGTACATACGGGGGTATTGCTGTACTCAGCCGACATAGCTGAGCAACATATGAAGTATTATACAGTCTTAGCACACATACGATTTGCAAAATATACTGTGCAAACTCACTTTGTGTGTCAGAAAGGCAAAAAAACGTTTATCACCACTACACTTGGTACAAGCTAGCGGAATAATTATCCCACGCTAAGGTTCAAAATATGCCTTTTGAAATACCCTGGGATGTGTTCTTTAAGAAATGGTATGCCTTTATGGTGTAGTTGTAATATGTAGCCTGCTCAAGTGCTCCAAAGTGGGACACGGACGCATCAAAACCCTCCCTGAAAATTCACACTTAAAAACCTTAACTTGTCACGTCTCTTTTACAGCAGTGTAACTTCACAAAATAGTGTCTAGGTCATACATTGGGCATATTGTTTTACTCAGAAGACTTAGCCGAGCATAATTTGGGGGGTTTGAACTTAGTGGCACATATGAAATGTACAAAATGCCCAGCAAAAATGTAATCCGAATGTAAAAAATACCCAAAATTATTTTTTACCACATACTTTGGCATATATTGGTGAAAAAATGGGGGCATGTTAAGGCACAATATGAACCATATGAGATAACCTGGAGTGTCTACTTTTACAAATGGTAGGCCTTTGTGTTTTTTTTTTTGAACAGTCAAACTGCTATAATACCCCAAATTGAAGCATAGGCACATTAAATCCGCCTCTCAAAATTCTACTGTAAATGTTGAAATGGACAGGTCTCCTATATGGCACTGTAGCTTCATTAAATAGTGCCAAAGACATACAATGGGAGTATCGTTGTACTCAGCAGAAGTAACTGAACACAAAATAAAACTTTGTACAGGAATAGCACACACCAACTTTACAAAATACACATGAGAAGTTATAAGATTGTGTGCCAAAAAAACCCCAAAACAAAATTCTACTCCAATATTTAGCAGAGATTGGCGGTGAAATGGCTACGTAGAAAGTGTCAAAACAACCTTAGGAAAATAGCCTGTGATGTCTACTTTATATAAATATATACTTTTGTGTGGCAATTTTGTTTTCTTTTATGGCTATTAAGCTTACAAGACAAACATACCAAATTCTAAAATCGCTCCACATTAAAAGTTTATTTTACTCCTTGTGCTTTGTGACCTGTAACTACCAAAAAAAACTTAAAATCCCAGACACATTATATATTCTGTAAATCAGAACAACTAAATGAATTTATTTTTAATTACTTTCTTTAACCTGCACTAATTAGGCACACATTATTATTGCAAAAACTGTACAAAAAAACTAATTTTTTTTCTTTTTTTTGCCTTTTTCTGTATTTTTTTTTAATAATAAATAAGCATTTATATATATATATATATATATATTATCAAATTAAAGCCCTTTCTGTCCTTTAAAAAACAGTATATAATATGTGTCGGTGCAATAAACGAGAGAGATGCAAGAAACGCATACAGCAAGAAAATGCAAAAATTGCTTGTGTCATTAAGCGTAAGACAAGCTTCTGAAGCTGTGTCCTTAAGGGGTTAATACATTTTCTCTTTTCTCTTCTGACAACTAACATATCAATACATTTTATTGTGTGTTTCTCAGCTTCACATCAATGTCCATTCTGGCCCAGATTTACATATCATCACTTGTCTTCCAGAAGTAGTTTGACATTAATATTGTTGACAAAACCACGTTCCTTCCTGACATACGTGTGGAACTGCATCATCCCTCACTGACTTCACACACCTCGTGAAATGACGTTGGCAGAATCGAGAGGACTGATGACACGCACCAAGATTTTCTAAGATCCGGCCTTCAGTCTTCAAACCCAGGCATTCGTCAACCATATTTCTGTACTTGGTGTTCATTGAAATATCAGGTAAATATTGTGAAGGAGAGGACCTGCAGGACCAGTGCTGGACAGCATACAGAGCCGAAAGTAGAACGTAAGATATATAGTTTGTGTAAAACAAAATAACACACTGAAGGACTTTACATCACTAATGAACAAATAAAAAAGACTGACTTTGTGATTAGCATATTTTTTATTATTTGATTTTAGTCAATTAATGTAAGAAACAAGCAGAACAGATGTGGAATATGGTCATCAGCCAGTTCCACACAGGTAAATGAGCCCGGCTCAGGCCAAGTCTCTGGGCTTTGCCAGGATTAGTTTAATGTTTTTTTTTTGCTCATTACCAACCACTGCTTGAAACGATTATCCCGCCAACATGTGGGGAGCAGTGCCTTTCACCAAAGACACTTATAAAACACACAGAGAAACAGAAATGTGAACTACAGTCCAAAATGTGCATTATTGACAGTAGTGCTGCTAAAATCACCTTGGGATTATACAAATTACATACAAACCCAGAGCACAGCTAACATACAGTATAAAGCCTTTCTAGGGCACTTAGATACCGTTATATAAAAGAGAGAGCAGGGGTCTTCAGTCCCCCTATGCAGTGATTATGCAGTGCCCACCAATCCCCCAAATTGTCTGGTCCTAAAACCACTTAGTGGCCAAATTCTCTCATTCTTCACATCAGATAGATATTTAATAGTAGCATTGGAAAGGCGAACAGCAGACTGTATTTTCTGGGTGAGTCTTTACATCGTACCATTATAATTATATTCTGTAAAATTCGCTATGAAATAGTACAGGTTCCAGACAAAGCCTCCCCTGTCTGCTTTCACCGTGTATTCGGAGTCCTGAGCAAACTTCATGGACACAAATGTCAATCCCTCCCCCTGGGAGCCCAGAGCAAAATGCTCTAAAAAGCATATAGTTACTGGATTAGTGCGTCTAGGAGGGAGCAGATTAAAAATGTAACGTAAGTAATATAGGAAACATAATTAACTACCATACTAAAAGTATGTTGGGGTCTACAGCTATTGGGGTACATTGCCATAATTGTAAGCAAAGCAAAATGTAAGTATCTGGTATGACATGGAAGGGTAGGTGATATATATGTAGCCTTGAAAGATTTAATATTGAAGATTGAATATTATAATTTACATTGTTCAGATTTTTTATGTAATTTTATTTAGCTACTTTTAATTGCGTTCACATTTGTGCGTATATCGTTCACATATGATGTTTGATCTTCTAGAACATCATCATATTAATTATATTATTATTATATTATTATTATTGTTATATTATTGCAGAAATAATTCTAAAGTGCCACATTAACACTGGCGTGATGTAAATATCGCCTCTCGCTGTACATTTCCCATAATGTTAGATAGAATATTTGATTGGTTCTCAGATATACGGCCGTGGTTATTGGTTTTTTGAAGCCCATGGAGCAACGCAGGGGGGGAGTGGGCCTTGACAGGGCCAGAGAGTTGGCAGGTGAAGTTAAGGTCAAGGGGTGTGGAAAAGTAATGTCTGGACAGGGGGGGGAGGAGAATAAGGGTTTAAATAACAGCCAATTTGGTGAGCTGGCCTTTTTAATCAAAATCACACTTACTTGATACTTGTCCCTCCCACCCTCCCTTTGTGTTCGGTTGTCTTGTTTGGTAGGTAGTTTCCCGTTTGGTCACAGCGGCGGGAATAGGGCCTGGGTTAAAGAGGATTTGGGTGGAATAGGAAGTGGGCAGGCCAAGGTCTAGGCTGGACTATGCCGGAGTGGAAAATGGTTTGTAGGTTCTAGCTCGTTGGTGGCTATGAATCTGGGGGTGTAGGGGTGTCTGGGTACACCCCTACAGTTAAACATATGGTTATGGGGCCTCTTTGGTAGGCCATGGGTTAAACGTTATGTATTATTGGAATGTTTTATTAATGTTATTTGGTAGGGTCATTGTCGTGGGTATTGGGCAAGAAGGTCGGACATAATTAATACTTGTGACAATGACCCTAAATTGTTAAATTGTTGAATTAAAATTTTTAATAAAGCTGTGGACTTTATACTCCAACAGAAATGGTGTCACAGAGTTATTTTATTAAGGTTTTAGCACATGCCGAATAACGACTGTGCACATGTCAAGTATCCCTTGTGTACTGTCTGCTTTAAGACTCTGTACATTTGGTTTCATTTAAACTATTTAGTTCTGTTTGCAGAGTTTTCATTTATTTGAAATGTACCCACAATGCTTGTTAATAAGGCAAACAGAATAGCAGCTATTTTTTATTTGGTAACAGAGTACTCTGATGACGAGAGCAATATCTATTGTTTACAGAGGATTTCTCGATTTGCACAGCAGTGTAATAGAAAGTCTCTATGGTGCTGCTTTCTATACTGCACGTTCGTACATGAAAGTAATCTAATTCGCATCTCAGAGCTGTGCTGGAGCAGGGGAGGTTACGCGGCTCTGTCTGCATGCTGTGATAATCACATTGCAGCCCTTTGGGTTGGTGAAATTACTGCTAATTCAGCATTTGTTGTAACAGGACGCTTTGTATTAAGGTTTCTACCTGCGTATAAGGAGCTTGTTAAATAGTAATGCGTGTTTTTCTTTATTCTACAAATAGAATATGAACTGCATCCGTCGTAGCAGGGTACAGTAAACAGCACTTCATCTCAATAAACACGATGTATATTGCAATCATATATCTTTTACACTAATGACATTTACTAACAGATAACACAGAGAGAAAAGCATACAGTTTTATTAAAGAGCCAGCAGATTATGTATTTGAACCATATCTTTTTTTAAGAGCAGAATAATGAGTTTATTACCCCAGAATGGTAATCTGCATACCTCCCAACTGCCCTGAATCTGTAAAACAGTCCTGATTTTGGACCTTTCCCCAACATTCCTGCTGTTTGTAGCTGGTGTTTTGTCTCTGGGATATCAGAGATATCAGAGACACTTCAAAACATTATTTATTGTGCTCTCCATGGGTGTTATGAACATGTTTTGTATTAATGCTTTATTTTCAGTTTCCCCACTTCTATGCATTGGGGACTGTTACCATTTTTTCTGTAATGTTCCAAAATAATCGATTTTCTGCCACTTCTTATTTATCTTTTTCACTTTTTGCTTCTTTATTTTCCCGGATGATTTTACCATTGATTACATTCCCATAATTCCCATTATAATAATAATAATAATTGGGGGGAAAAAGATAAATTTTACGTTATAAAAAAGGAGACAAATTCACAATCCGAAAAATATTTAGTCGTCAAATATATTCTTTACACTATAGTTCCCTCTGGCCTCCCACCATGTGGTCCTCTCTCCTATTCCAGTACCTTTGTCCTATGTCCATCATAGATACTGGGTCGATGATCTGCCTCCTTCAGCATCATCCTGCGGGGAAGCCTAATGTGTGGTGAGCGCATTAGGCTTTCTCCATAGGAAAGTATTGCTGAACGTGAGGACATCCAGCGTCAGTTAGGCAACCAAACGTCTGGTAAGATCCTGGAAGTGCCTCTAGGGGCTGACTGATTGACAGTCACTAGAGGCAGTCTTAGTCCTGCAATGTAATCATTGCAGTTTCTCTAAAACATTATTTACATTGCATGAGTACTAAGAGGTACAGGGACACTGCACCCAGACCACTTCAGTGAGCTAAAGTGGTCTGGGTGCCTATCGTGTCCCTCTAAGGTTACCCTAGGCAATAGGTTCTTTGCAAGATTGTGGCTCGAACATAGTGTCCTTGTCTTTGTTTCTGTAAGTGGTAAGTGTGTTAAATGACTATTGCCTATAATTGTTCATACAGCTGTATGGGGGGGAGGCAGAGTGTGTCATTGTCTGCTGGTTAACTGTTATGTGTGATGCTTGAATTTTGTGTGTGTAGGGAGGTCTGAGTGTGGCTGAGTGATTTGCCCCCCACTTACCTTCCTCTGTGGTCCAGCGGAGGGTGAGCTGAATCCTGGGTGGTCCAGGGGAGGTGATCCATCCTCTGCACCAATTTCAGGTACAGACTACGTTAAGAGTGGTGCTTTGAGTCATCAGGAAGTGCCATGGGACTGTAAGGATGTTGGTACAAACCACAATGCACAAACTACAGTGTCAGTGCTTAGTAGATATACCCTTAGAGATATGTTATCTAGGGTGTGACAAAGTGCCCTTCGCCACTTGGTCCTGGAGAGGCCTGCTTGCCAGCCTCTGGCCCTGTGATTATGGCCCTGGGGTGTATGGCCTTTTAAAAACAGTACATGGGCATCTGAAGACTTTTTGTGACAATGTTCCTGTAAAACTGTATCCCCAGTGTCCCCAGACTGTTAAACTACTTTGTGCATGTCATTTTCCTATTTGGTTCGGTAAATGAGGCTTACCGAACCAATTACCAACCAGGCGGACCACACAGAAGTGGAAGTGTGCAGCTAATTTACCTCCCAGGCTGGCGGTTAACCGCAGGTTAAGTGCCGACCGCTGGGTGGCTTCTGTTCGTGCAGTCAAACACGTGGCGGCGGCCATCTTTATTTAGTCGAACGCGGTTAGCGGTGTGTGCTGTCAAATTCATGGAACTAAAATCGGCTACAAAATGGCACGAACACCGCTGAAGTTTTACCTTCCCTGGAACTAATGCATTCGACAATTCAAACACCGTTCGACAATTCGAATGCCGTTCAACAGTTCATTTGACAATTCAAATGGTTGTCGTTTGTCTGTTTGAACTGACTTTAACATGGGAAATTGACCAGCCGCACAGCCTGATTCTCTGGAACTGTTTGGGACAGGAAGCATGCTTGCGGTCGGTCATAAAGGACTTCCAGCTAACATTTTAACCACTGGAGGGAATTGTCTAATTTTTGTATATGTTTGTATTTGAAGTATGCTGATTAATAATTTAATAATATGTAACTTTTATGGAGATTGGATGTATATTTTGTGAGTTATGAATATTGTATGAAACTGTGTATTTTCCTGCCTGTGATAATTATGTTAACCCATTGTGTTCATTAATTAGATTACTGGCAGAGGGGAGGATTTTGCTGGAATGAATGGGAGTGTTTAACTGTATTGTACGTGTTTGATTGGCTGTGCCACAAAACCATGTGGGTGATAACATTGTGTAAAAAGTTGCATATAAGTGCAAACCCTCAGACTGCTGAGTGCCTGTTTTGACCCTCAATTGTCTCATGATTGGGGATACGGCTGTATCTACTCTGGGGTATTGCTATGCACTACATACTTCCCTAGCTATAATCACTAGGCTCTTTTAAGAACTTGTTCCAGCTTCACTCTCTGCAGGAAGAGAGGTTCGCTCTGCTGATGGTGTCAAGTGGAGTGCTTGGAGTTCTCGGGAAGCACTAGGAGCATCCATCAATGGAGGTACTCGGTTGGAGTACTGGAGTTCCGTTACATAGGGTACCACAAATAAAACCAAGTTCTTATAATATAGTATAAAAGGGCATTAACAAAGAGAATAGAACTGTCAAGCGGAAAAGGGAAGTCCCAGTTATTATAGGTTGTATCCACTCCTGTGTTGTTGTGGCGTTATAATACCACCAGAATATCCACCAGATCTCAATGTGGTACTTGTTACCAAGATCCGCTGTCAAAGTTGAGGGTATACTTTAGCTAGCAGCACAGTTAGGGGGTTATTAGTCCTTATCAGACCGATCACCTTTAGCTAGCAGCACAGTTAGGGGGTTATCAGTCCTTATCAGATCGATAACCTTTAGCCAGCAGCACAGTTAGAGGATTATTAGTCCTTATCAGACCGATCACCTTTAGACAGCAGCGCAGTTAGGGGATTATTAGTCCTTATCAGACAGTTAACCTTTAGCCAGCAGCACAGTTAGGGGGTTATTAGTCCTTATCAGACCG